TGCCCTTGTTGAACTTCATTTGGTTCCTCTTCACCCCATTCTCCAGATCTCGCTGAATGGCAGCACAGCCTTCTGCTGTCAGCCATTCCTCCCCATGGCCTTACCTCACCCCCAGTCTCCTCCATGAGTGAAGGGCACCCAGGCCTGTCTTCAGACCCACCCTCATCACCCACAGGCCCAGACAAATCAACTTGCACACAGTAAAGCTCTGCAGTCAGACAGCAAGGTGGAGGGATTGGTTTTTATTTCAAAAGACAGTAAGACAATTTTTCAGTTTAGTATCAAAACACTTGATAAGGTTCTTTTCTCCAGATTGGCCCCTAAAACTGCTACAACCAAGCAGCATGCTCGAGCACAAGCGACACGCTGCGAGTTTGACACATCTCCACACTCACGCCTCACAACAACTACACATCAGCAATGCACAGCAAGATGGCTTGTACCTTATTAAGACACTAGGAGCACTCCTGGCCAGGAGGGAAGGCCTCTGTTCCCTCCCTCAGGGTAGGCAAAAAAAAAAAACTTCCCCAAGAAAACAAGGCTGTTGTACTGAAGCTGTTAAGTGTAACCCAGCAATAAGCAATAAAGCTTGGTGCATCAGCACTTAGTGAAGGCAAATTCAACCCCTGCGTAGCAATGGGTTAGAGGGGCCATGGCTTCTCTAAGCCTACCAGGGAAGGAAGTGGCCAACAGAGGGGGAGAGGAAGGGAAACAACCCTGTGAAGGTTTAATTGTTCAGATACAAGCTTGCTTTAAAAAAAAAAAAATTCTCCTTTTGCTTAAGTTGCTTCTCCACAACACAGAGATTTACCTTAAAGCTGAGAAACTGAACTGCTCTTTTGGCAAACAGCTCCTGGAAAGGAAGTTTTCCCAACAGACTTCCATCCCTAGCCCAGCTACTCTGATTCATTGGCCTACAGCCAGGAACCATCACACCCTTCTTCCTCCCCTGCCAAAGCAGGGTGGCCCAGAGCTGATTAACAGAAGGTTAATACCGAATTTTAAAGCCACAAGCTTTGAAGGGTAGCTCATCAGCCTCAGAATTATTTGGAATGTTTACAATGGTTGCTACAAAAAAAGATAGTTACAAAATGTATACATCTCAAACATGCTCCCTAAACATTATTGCATTGTTTATTTCCCTTAATAATGCTGTTTGAAGCTCTGCCCAACTTGATGGCCTTTAACCCTGAGGTGAAGGAGAAGATTTGTGTTTGGTCAAGTTGGCAACAGAAAGTAAACTCTGGTCCCCAAGGGTTAGAGGTCAGCAGCAGCTGGGCTGGCCCACCCGGGCATCGTGTGGCAGAGGCAGTGGCAGGGATCCATTACATCTCGTTCAGATCTAGCAGGGTCTGGTCCAGCATTCTTTGCGTGCAGAGATGCTCCTCTTTGGTGGATTTCAGTTTATCTGGCAGGAAGCAAGAATCAAGAGTTACAAGTCAGCTTCAGACAACCATGAAGCCTTCGCCAAAGAAAGCGTGCGCTAGCCCCTTCCCAACACGCTGCCACAGCAAGTCCTCAGACTGGGGGTGCCTGGCTGGGTGCAGCTAGAAGATCTGAAGTTACCTGACTCAGTTGTAGCCCTTGCCTCTCGCATTGCCGGTGCTTCTGGTAGGCATGGTCATGATGTACTTTTAGCCAGTGCTCTAGGCAGTGTTTTGCATGCAGGTGCCTCTGACCATAGCTAGCTTTCCCAGGGCTTCAACGCTTCCACACAGCAGACACCCCACCCCGTGGCCCAGCAAGCCACCCAAGAGCAATGCAGAGGTAAAACACACTTAAGAAAAAATCAGCCCCTGGATTACAGCTGGTTGTGCCCCCCTTCCCCCAGCACAGGGCAGAGACACCAAGCTCGTTACAAAGACCATAACTATCTAGCAGCAGGGAGCAGACAAACATGCCTCAAGGACAGCGGAGGAAGAGGCTGTTTTCAGTGAGGGGTAGGCAGGGAGCAAGTAGGAGCAAGGGTGCTGCAACTCTGCCCAAGACTACAGGCAGCTGCACAGTCGATTCTCACTTGTTCCTTAAGCCAGGAGGAGAGCTCAGATCAGCAACTAGCCCTCTAGGTAGGCTTTACTCCAAAGGTGAGCCCACCCTTATCACTGAAGAGATCCACACGCTGGGACACTGGACAGACAGGCTGTAGAAAGATGTCCTTTAGGTACAGGCAGTTTCTCAAAGCCACTCCCCAACCTCCCCAGGGTCAGAAACTATGCACAAGCATCTTTCCTAGAGCACCAGCAAACGCAGCATTTAAAGATTCCCTGCAGGCACTCAAGACAGCTTCATGCTGTGGATTTTGGGACTTGCCTTCAAGATGTCCATGAGCTTTCCCAACACATTCTGGGGCTCTGCACTGGGGTCAGGCCCCAGCAATGACCAATTCCCCCAAACCTTCTAGGTTAGAACTCAACTATATAGGAAAGTACTACAGTGTGCAGTGTCTTACAGACCACGAGGTCAGTCATTTATTGTTAGAAGCCATCATTCCATGCAGCAAGAAATCCTATGGTCATTCAGCTAACAGTAAATTAAGTTGTAGCACTTGATGTAGGCGTCTTCTAGCAGACATAAGCCTAACTTCAGCCCACCCCTCCCTCTCTTTGTGGGTACAGCCATTGTGGTTCCATGGAGGAGCCAAGCAGGACCCCCTGGATAAGTGAACAAGACTGCTCAAAAACCAGCCAACCCTGAGGGTTACTTCACCAAGAATAGAGGTTACCTTAATAAAAAAAAAAAAAAACAACAACCAACTCTTAAATAAATTAGAGGATAAATTCAAGTGCCCCATTAAATAGCAGCAATTGCATAAAATTTGCAAGTCTGCCAGTCTTAAGAATGATCAGATTTCACTGTGGTCCACAGCATTGGTGGTCGCAATAAGCTTGTTTAATGGCATTAGTGGGCCCCCTTCTCAGTCACACAGATCATGCAGCGTTAACTTCAGCTCGTTAGAGAGCAGGCGGTTTTTCTCAAGCTGGCTGTACAGGCGCTCTGCAGCAGCAACAGGATTAGGGGAAACAAGAGGAAGAGAGAAAAAGAGAGAAAGGGAAAGTTAGTAGAGTACCAAGATGAGCACATCAAATAAGCCGTCTCTGTAACACGTGCCTCTGAGGATCAAGTCTATGCTATTACACAGATGAAGCTGGGGAGAACAAAGGTTTGGTTTACTCTAACTTGTGTTTCAGCTCAGGAAAATCACAGAGGAAGCCAAGTGCGGGCCAGAAATGGAAGTGCTGCCAAGGGCTTGTGAAGGCAAAGAAAAGAAGAGGACAACACCAGAATAGGAGCCTGCAGGCTGGGCTGTACCCAGGTAAGGAGAAAGATTTTGGATGTGCTTTAAGCCTGTGGAGCACTTTGCAGAAAGATGCAGTCCTACCACAAGCTGAACCAGAAGCACCTTCCAGGGTGAGCCACACCACGCAGCAGTAGTGGGATTGATAGGGTTTTAACAGTAGGACAGGGACACCAGAAGAACTGAGAACGACAGCATCTCATACCTGACCTGGAGGAGGTTCCTCCAAGGACACGCCTTTGTGCCATACTAAGAACCCACCACATCTAGCCAAGGACTGAAGGCAGTATCTGCTCTGGGTACAGGACAGAGGAAGTGCTGGAGCACAGGTTCCTATTTCATGTCTGCCCCAGAACAACTAAACAATCAGGGCACAAACCACCACTGCATCTGACAACCTCCACCTCCCACCCAGTACCTGTCCTTACAGCCTTGCAGGGCTCTAGCAGCCACACTCATCCCCGAGGCTGTACCAAGCACGTGTGCTCATCAGCAGCTCCAGGGAAAGGGAGAATCAGTCTGATCGTCTCCCAGGACAGGTCACCTCTTTGGGGCTAGATGGCCACTGTCCTGCCATACAGCCTGTCAGCCACCACAGAGAACCAATTCAGCATTTATCTCCGCTCATCTACATGGGCAGGGTCCTCCTGGCCTGACAATTCCAATTCCTGCGTTTGGGCAAGTTCCAGGCAGTAAAAAAATCCTTACACAACAGCTTTCAGCCTGGCAGAACCAATCACCACAAACTGTAGCAATATGCACAGCGTACTGCCTCTGCCTGATAAGCAAGCATAAAGCAAAGCAATTGCTGCTGGCCTTAGGTTTCTTCTCAAACCCTTGTCCTACACAAGGTCCCTAGGAACCTAGAGCACCGTCTGAAGGGGATCTACACCATTCCTCATTGCTTTCAACCCTGGAATATTTTACTCTTGAACTGGAACAAGACCTGGCCAGGTAAGATTCAGGACACTGAGTCAAGCTGTTCACATAGAGCAGCCAAAGCATGTCCCCTTCTCCAGACAATCTCAGCCCAGTCCCTCCAGCATGACAGCTACACACAACACGGGAAAGTCACCTTCACCCATCTACCCTTAGCTCCTCTCAGTGCCTGCTCTAGCCATTCTTCACTCTGCAGGACAGAAAGTAGTAATGCTAATTGATTGTCCCCTTCTTTAAAGCCACTAAGGGACCAAGCAACAGCCAGAGAAGCCAACAATTTCTGTCCCACCACAATCTAAAAGTTGAGGGAAGTTGTGGTATGGGTACACCCCATCCTGGCCTACACCAGAACCCACCTTGCACATCAGCTACTACTGCTTCTCAGGTCCGGCAGTCTGGCCTCCATGCTGGCTCTGAGCACATAGGCTGCGCACCGTGACGCCAGCCTCCAGCCCCAGGTGATCAGGGCTCGTCCTGGGTCTCCAGAATGACAGAGGATGGGAGTGAACTGCAGTCAGAAGTACCAGTGACTGTAGGCTGGTGCAGCAGCTCATAGCCTTCAAGCAAGCATTACTGCTTGTGGACAGGGACCTGATGATCCACCCATACAAGGGAGCAAACCGACTGAAGTAAATAGCATGACCCTTCCTAGGCCTCAGGAACAGCTCCTCAACATGGAATGCTTGGCCAGGTCTGCTGGGGCTAGCTCCAGTGTTTGGCCTGCTCCCCTTCTCCACCCAGCCCACAGGGCAGCCTCACCAGCCATCCTTGCAACCTGGAGACCTCCAGGACTTATGCCTCCTGGTCAGCTAATCTACATTCGCAGCACTCCTGAGTCAACAGCCCAGCTCACGTAACCAGCCCGCACAAGCCTAGCAATCCAGTCAGACCAGAAGCCTCTCAAAACCTCCCAGGGCAGACGTTGCATCACCCACCAACCCACCACACAATGTGGAGTTCCATCAGGACGGGCAAGGAAAGGGCCTGCCGCAGCCCAGCCTTTGATAACATCGCTTACAACACCACTATGCAACAGCAGAGCCACCAGCTCCACGCAGTGTGAGTCAGTAATAAACCCACAGCTGACAGGACCTCCCTGTGAGGAGAGAGGCAGGGTGCCACATCCCACCTGGTAAGAGCTGGCAACTGAACGCTGGGCTGCAAGCCGCCTCCACTCACCTGGACAGTGGCGACAGAAGTGCTGACCCTCCCACAGAATCTAGATCCCCTCCTCCAGCTGCAGGTTTGGTTACTGAGGGGTTACAGGTTCTCGCTTTGTGTTTACAGAGCACAGAGTTATTGCCCCATACCCCAGGAGAGTCAGACCACCATCTGCCAGAGTTTTCCAAGCTATTACCCTTTAAAATTCCTTGTGGGAATGCTCTTTGCTTCCCCATCCAGACACAGCAGAGAGGGGATGGCCCTGACAGAAGACAGAGTGAGAACAGGCTGTGGCAGTGCAGTGTGTCTGGATTATCCTTACTGCCGGTGCCATTTGTGTGGACAACGGAGTGACACAAACCTGAGGAAACCACGGGAGGTGTCCCATTTCATCAAAACTCTGTTCATGAAGGGCTCTTCGGGCACTGTGGCAGATGAACCAATCCAGAAAGGAGAAAGTATTTGACAAGCCACCATGAGGCAGCACATACAGTTACAAGAGGCTGATCAGTGTATATGATACCAGCGCAACTAGCAACAGACTCAGACCAACTGTGACACATCAAGTGTTTGCAGCCTGCCGTCAGCGACGGTGCTCAGTGTAAAGCTCCATGCCACGCTCCCAGGAGGATCCCGTCACCCTCAGCCCTTGCACAGGGAAGGGAGGACTCTGCAAAACACCGATTCCCTGGCTCGGACGCCCACAGCCCTGCTGCAGTGCGTTCTCATTCCTGAGGCAAGGGGCCATACATCCCCGGCACAGGCAGCACCTCACACCCAACCAGTCCTGTCCAACCGGAAACCAGCCAGAGCTCACTTGATATTTATCAGCTTTCACACCCTGCTAGTGAAGTGTGGTGACTTTCCACTGCAAGCCAGCATTTGGCAACCGATGCTGGTGAACCCTACAGAGCGGGCAGGCGTGAGGAAATGTCTTCAGCCAGGCTGAAGCAGGCACAGCTCGAGGACTTCCTGCTACAAACCCCAGCCTCCCATTTGACCCTACAGAGCATGCTGCACACCAAGGCACCATTTGCAGAGCTGCAATTCACATCTGTGAGCCAATAAAACACCCAAAGGGAAAAATCCAGCACATTAGTGAAGTGTGTATATTCCACCAAGGGTGAGGAGGGTTACACTGGTTTGACGGCAACATTGAAACAGTTACTCTGAAGCAGCAAGTGGTCACTAGAGACCCATTTCTCAAAAGCACCAGCCGTTCCATTCAATTTATACAAGAGTTTTCCTTAAAAAAAGGTGACATCATGCTCAAGCAAGAGGCAAGAGAAATACAAAAGGAGCTTTATGGCTCTACACAAGATATGCAGATGAGAACAACATACTCCTAGCTACACCCAGACATTGAAAGGGCAGCCCCTCAGAGCACAGCAGTGTCTGGCACATCGGGTCAAACAGAGGGAGCTTTGTTTAGGAGCAAGTGCAGCATAACTGGGGGGCTGCTGCTGCTGTCAAGCTTCAGTGTCTTTACAGCACTCGTTCCCAGGGATGCCCTGTGCACAGTAACTGGAAAAAGGTACTGGAATTCAGAGTGAGATGACGAGAGCATGAATGCAGGGTGCAGATGCAGAACAAGCCACCAAGCAGAGAGGCAAATCCAAAGTGGAGTTTGGAATCGCAAGACTTATCTGTGTGAGACAGAAGGAGACACTAATTTTAAGAGAAGCTTAAATGTTTGTGCACAGCAAACTTTGCTTAGGGAGCTTTCGGATGCTAGCATTAAGGCTCTTCCTCTGCAGCGCAAGTACCTGGCCTCTCCTTGGTTAGTGGTAAGGACTGTGCGGAGCAGCTGTTAGCAGAACCCACCACAAATCCAAACAAAAAGCCAAGTAGCAAAGTTGCAGAAACATAAGAGTTCAGCTACTTCCACAGATCAGTTCACGATCCAGCCCATCTCAAGCCTGTTGCGGCAACTCCTAAGGAATCCACTCTAGCGCTATCCACAGCCTCTTCCAGGAGGAATCCTGAGACCATGGCCCAGTGGCTCCAGCAGGCAACTAAGCCATATTACCTTAGGAAGCCTTTCCCAGTGGGACTGGGAATTGCACTCGTAGAGTTCAAGTCAGAACCCTTTCAGGCCAGCACAGCACTTAGTGTTACACATGCAGACCACAAGGACCTAGAGTTAGAGTACAGCATGCTGCAGGGAAGCCTCCACAATCCTCGAGGCAGAGATCTGTAGAAGTAACCTAGACAACACAGTGCCATTGATTCTCCAACTATGAAAATCACAGCAAACCAAGCAAGCTCTGGCGGTCTAGCCTGCTGAAGCGAGAGGCGAACACCAGCCAGCTCATATTTACATGGAAGTCATGTCATTCAGGGCGTGGTCCAGTTCCTCACTAATTGCTTTGTACTTCAGTTTCTGGGCATAGAGCTCATCTAGAAGAGGTTTAGGAGGAGAACAAAAGGGAAACAATGAGGGAAGGCAGAGTTCTTCCAACACCCTGGGGCAGGAAAAGCAGTATGGGATTCATGAACAGAAGAAAATGAAGTTAGATATGGAGCCATCACAACTCTGTATTAGTTCCCAACAATGAACGGGAAGGTTCCGACAGCCTGAGGACAGTCTGACCAGCAAATGCCTTCCAGGATTACAAGCCAGCTCCAAGAGGAGCAGAGCCAAGAACTCAAGCCACATCAGCTTGTGAGAACAAGCTGCCCAGCTAGGTCAGCAAGAACCACTGACAGGAAGAGTAGCAGGGAAGGGCAACTCCATCCACTTAGGGAGAAGCTTGCTACACCTAAGGAAGGCACAGATCAACTGAGGTGCTTTGCTCTTACTTTCGGTCTCAATACAGAAACCTGCCTGGGAGAAGCGGTCACGTAATAGCCCCGGGCATCAGAGGGAATTCCCATTCTGTAGTACCCAGCTAGGCAGGGCGAGCCAAACACGCCATGCCTGCGTTCTCAGTGGAGCAGACAGGCAGATCATGTACCTTCAGGGGAGGAGGGCAGTCCCAAAACTTGTACCGATGCACTCCTTGAGCACTGTGCAGAGCTGGCATAGACTTCTCCCAGCTCTGGCTGCCTAGGGTACAGTGCAGCTGGTAATGTTGTTAACAGCTTTGCAGAGCCCAGAGAACTTTGTCAGTTGTCATAAACTAGGTCACTTCAGCAGTAAGGCCGGAGACCAGAGCCAACTCTCAATCAACGTGTTTCAAGGGGAACATGCAGGGATTTGGAGGAGTTTTTGCAGTTCCCAATAAAAGCTTGCCCTGGATCATGAGGTGGCTCAGATTGTTGCTTGGCAGTGGTTCTGGAACAGCTCAGCTGACACCATTGCTATTTCTAGATAAAAAAACCTCCTGAGTGACTCCAGATGGTAGGATGTGGCTTTGAATCTCCAAGAGGTGCCACTAAAAGACCACAAAGGTACATGGTGTGGTTGAAGCAGGAGGCCTGTAAGAGTTTTGGTTCACCAGCACCACCACTCCAGCCATAGCCACAGATTTAAAGGAGGCAGCTAGAACCTTCTCCTTCCATGGCTTGGGGCAGGTAGGATTCTGCAACAGCTGGCCCCAGGAGTGCTCCTGAACTACTGGGAAGTCAGGAACAGGAGGTGGAAAGGAACCCATCCTCGGCACAGGCTGACCACCACGCTGCATGGATGGGGCTTCTGGTGATTTAATCTTGAACAAGGACTGACACTGGGGAGTCCCAAGTCTTCACGGAGGCTGTTTCAAGACTCAGACTACTGTGACTGACTTGCAGCAACACTCACTGCAGCAGCCAGCCACATGCATGAGATTCTGCACACAAGTATGTTATTGTAACTGATTCCTGTTGAGTTCAGGTGGGTTTTTTTCTTCCTATGCCACTCCTTGAACTGGGTTAAGCTGGAACATAGGAATCCAGCTACGTTCCTGACGACATCACAACTGAGATACACCAGCCGCACTATCTGTCAGATATAGCAAGGTGTTTGGATCAAGAGCTGAACTGTTTTCAGAGTAGGGAGCTGTGGGCATGACTCCCAAGCCCAGAGGCACCAAGCCTCACCTTGGAGGCTGAGTTAGGTCATGCTCCAAGCATTGAGGAGCAGAGCAGTATCTCCACTTGCGAGCTATCTGGGACACAGCCTTCCTCAGCTCCCTACTTCTCACCACATATTCTTTGGCTTCCCATCCCCAAAATATACCTTCCAAATCATCAATTGTCTTCTCCAGCTTGGCTACAGATCGTTCAGCAAATTCAGCACGGGTCTCCGCCTGCCAGACAGAGGCAACTCAGTTAGGACAGCAGCTTTGGGATACAGCCAAGGACTACAGAGGCATCAGCCTGAGGACATGAAGTCTCCCACCTTCCATGCCTGTCCCCAGTCGAGCTGAGGCCAGCTCACCCAGCTGGGCCATCCTGACATAGTCACTCACCTCTTTGAGTTTATCAGTCAGGATCTTGATCTCTTCTTCATATTTATCCTCTTTTTGAGAGTACTGTGGAAAAAGAGAGGTGTCAGCAAATCAGCAGCCCTCAGCAGCTCCAGGTGTCTCCCACTCCAGAGATCCCACAGCTACAGAGGGAGACAAACTCCTCACTGCAGTGCACATGCCCACAGAAACTTCCAACTGGGAGTTGTTCACACTCCTACCCTAGTCCAACACAACTGGGTCAGGCAACAAGTCCCACATCATGCATGTAACACAAACTTGGGCGCAGAAAAACTCTCATCCAAGCAGCATAAACATGTTGGCTGATCGAGTCTGCCCCAAGGCAGGGAAGGGCAGCCAGACTTCCCAGACTCCAGGCTTCTACAGTCAACATTAGCCCTGCACCAAAATCCGTTAGCTCTTCCAGGACAGCAAGTACAGCTCTCCCTGCTTGCATAAGGCTGCAGTTGCATCATTTCCATCCCAGTGGGTGCTCTGTTGTCACACACCCTCCTAGCAAAACATAAACATTTCTGGCCCTTGGACAAGCAGCCCTACCTTCTCAGCCTGAGCCTCAAGAGACTTGAGATTGTTGGTGACATTCTTCAGCTCTTCTTCCAGCTCGGAACATTTACTGTGGAGTTTCGTAAAGAAAGGGGGTAGAAAAAGGAAAAGAAGTGGGAGGGAAAGACAGGAGAGACAAGAAGTGAATCCATGTGCAGGGAAGACTATAAAATTCTTTAGGAGACTGCCTGTGATCAGACTGGATGGGACCCTGCTTTCAGGCACTGGTGTGGAAAGCAAGTTCCCTTCCTGCCTCCAAGTTCATATTTTAAGTATTCTGCCAGCACATATGCAGGGCACTGAGCTGAGCAGCTGAGATGTGGATGCAAATTTCTGCCGGACCTGGAGTCTTCAGGTAGAAACTGCAAGTTTAATTTGCTGTAAGGAGGGAAGCTGTTCTGATGGACAGATGGACAGCCACCGCCACTCAGACAGGAATATTTATGGGCAGAGAGAACAGAACATTCCAAGAGAGAGAAAGATGCAGTTAAGCTGAGGGAAGGAGTGTAGCAAGAAGACCATAAGAGTTCTTGTTTAATGGTTCAAGAAGGGAAAGGTTAGTACCTTTTCTTCAGCAACAGACAGACACTTCAAGTTCTGGTCCATCACTCTGATCTGCTCCTGCAGCTCCCGGCAACGACTGTTAGTGACGGTCACACGATGGCACAAGCCAGGTGGGGGCAAGGGTCAAAAGGAGCACCAATAACACAATACCGCAGAGCAAAAAGGGGGTAGGGGAAAAACACAAAAAAGTCATGGTCATGACATGCATGTGTGGGCAGGAAGCACAGCGCTACTGCTGCATACACACTAACTTTGTTAGACAAGGCCCAGAGTAAAGAAAGGCCCTGACCAGCTCCTCAAGGATCAGCTAAAGCATCCAGGCACGTGAGAGAAGCCCAAACACCACAATTTGTGCGTCTGCTCTGAGCAGAAGTTGTAGCGCTCAGCGGTGCGGAAGTCTCTAGTGGTTACTGCAAATATTTTAAGAGGCCAGAGGCCAACCTCAGCCACAGTTCTGCCCTTGGACATCCCACATGCCACTTCAGCTCCTGGTCCGCGAGGCCTCTGCCACTTTAGGACAAGTGCCATGCACTCACGTGCCCTGTAGCAACACGTAAGGATCTAGTGACCATACGTACAAAGCAGTGCTGGTGCACACCAAGTGGAGAAGGATTCTATGGCCTCGCTAACTAGGGAGTCCCTCCATGCAAAGAGGCAGAACATCTCCACTACAAGGCAAATCACATCATCACAAACTCCACATCCTCAGTGGACCTAGTCCCATTCTGAGCAGGAGAGTGCCTCCAACTCTTTCATCTGAGGATCTAAACCCACCCTGTGCTTCAGGCCTTGTGTAACAAGGTTAGAAATGCTGTGTTAGTTCCCATGCAAAGGAAGACATGCCAGTTACACGCGAGCAGATTACTCACGACTCTGCAAGCTCAGCTCTCTCTTCAGTACGCTCCAGATCTCCTTCTATGATCACCAGTTTCCGAGCAACCTGGAAAGAAGAATCAGAGTTAAGAGGAAGGAAGATGATTTTGTACTTGTAGGCTACGTGAGGCAGTAAAGGGAACACCTGCAGGAGTCACGGAGCTGCCAGAGTCTTCTGGCTAAGCGAAACACTGATGTAGCTCTGCTGAGAGCCGGGCTCTCCGTCGGGGTTTGCTGACGAAAACCCTACCAGCATGAAGGAGAGCCACCTCTCCTGGCCAGAGTCAGCTGTACTAGAGCATCCAAGGTTCTCACCTCCTCATACTTCCTGTCCGCCTCCTCTGCGATGTGCTTGGCTTCCTTGAGCTGGATCTCCTGCAGTTCCATCTTCTCCTCATCCTTCAGAGCTCTGTTCTCAATGACTTTCATGCCTCTGCCCAAAAGAGAGCACAGGGAGGGGAAATGTATAAAACAATCCTGTACAAGCCAGTGGTGTAATGACTTTCAGAACATTAACGGCACTCCTCCAGGACCACGTTGCTTCCTTATGAGCCACAACACCTCTGAGTACAGAGGGTAGCGCAGGAAGGCAGACACCTCTGGGCTGATGCAAATACAACAACCTCGATTGCTCAGAATTAACTGTTCCTTGGAGCATTAGTTCAGCAGCTCATTGGGCTCCTGGACCAAGGGAAATGTGGTGCTGCTGAGAAGAACAAGCCAGGCTGTCTTAGGGACTCCACACAGCTGAGCCAAGCACATTCCAGGCTGGAATGCAGGAAGAGCCAAGTCAGTCTTTATGGCAGGACATCAGCTGGGTCAGGCTGCTCACTACAGCGTGTACACCAATGAAGCACAAGCAGCCAACTGGAAGTGGACCGCTCCCCTCTGAATTACACGGCCAGGTCAGGGTACGTCTGCCAGAAGGAAGGATGTTGGCAGAGGCAGCGGGAAGAGAGGCTTCCCTGCCAGCAGCCACCTTTACAAGTCAACAGTGTCCCAGAACCCACTTACTTCTGCTCCCTTGGAGGCGGGGAGGCATGGCAGCACACAGCACTTGCTCCTTTAGCCTCAGGTTCCAAGATACTCACTCAAGGCCAACAGCATTGTTTTAGTTACTCCGCATAAGTGGGTACCAACTCCCACATACAGCCTTGATGTGGTATCTGCTTCCCACCCTCCAGGAAGCCCAAGAGGATGATGGCACCGTGCCCTTGGTCAGGAACACAGCTGAGATGTTTGACAGAGTGAGAGCAGCAGACCTTGCTCACCTTTCACTTTCATCTGCAGCCTTCTCTGCCTCTTCCAGCTTCTGCAGAGCTGTGGCAAGGCGCTCCTGGGCTCGGTCTAACTCCTCCTCTACCAGCTGGATACGGCGATTCAAAGATGCCACTTCTGCCTCAGCCTAGAGGGAGCAGACGAGGGTGACTCTGTGGCAGGTTTAGCAGTTAGTGCAGGGCAGCCGAGGTCTGCCTTCAGGTCAGCGACAGCACATGGAAAGCTAAAACAAAGCCAGGGTGCTATATCCACTTTCTTACAGAGGCTGCACTCCTCTACGCTTGCACGCATATTAAGCTTTGCAATATTTCGCACGTGCTTCGTCAGTGCAGAAGTCATTGTGCAGGTTTCTCGCCTGTCAGCTTGAGCTGACGTGACAGTTTAAGCCATAAACACTAAGTAGATGACTTACACTAATGGTCTTCTCTGCAGCTGCTGTAATCCTGCCAGGCCATCAATCACAGTCCTATGACAGCTACCATTTAGCACAAAGTCAGTTTACTCGTGTGATCTGGACACGAGCATTGCTTGAAACAAGCCCTCTCGTCACCAACATGAGAAAGATTAACAGCTTTGAAGTCTGCCAAGCTGTGTCAGGGCTCTGGCAGGCCAACCTGGGGCAGCAGCAGGGCTCAGCCGATCGCTGTAGCGCCCACAGCCCCAGAGAGGCAGCTGTGCTCTAGGCCTCCGTCCTCCCAGCAGTTCACTAATAACCCAGAGAAAGAGCAAAAGCTCCATCCACTTTTGAGACAGGTTGAGGAGGCTTTTCCCCAGCAACAGCCACATGCAGACAGCTATTTCACTTCAGTCATACACGCCAGGAGCCAGTGATGTTGCCAGAGCCCGCAGGCACTGCGCGTTTGCCAGAAGCGCGACCACAGAAGTGACTGAGGCTTTAACGAATCAGCAGAGATCAGAAGCCATCACACCTGCCCCAGCCAGGCCTGTTACAGCAGCACTGCTATCAACCACGAGGCACTGCTTACAGCCCAGTCTGTGTCAACCCCGACCAGAGCCTGGGGGGAAGCCTAGATGCTTTGGGGACGCTAATACCCCACATCAGCCACCTCAGGGGAGCCCAGCATCCTGCTCTCCAGCAGGATTACTGCACTGGTACAGAGAAAGACAGGGCTGCAGCCATTTCAGGACAGCACTGCGATCTAGAGACTCACACACAGGCACATGCCAGGCATATATGAAATACCCCAGCTACTTGTAACAAAGCAGCCTGAAAGGACATGCTGCTTCTAACCGTGCCCAAGGAGGGAAGAGCAGAGCTATGAAAGAAGCCAGTGTTAGAGCGGGGCCAAACACAAATCATGTTCAGTTCCTGGGAGAGCTCTTCCCTCCAGTTGGCAGCAAGGCGCTCAACACCCCCCTGCCTCCACAGCACATTTCAAGACCAGGTTGTGAGAACACAAGTTGAAGAGGAGCTCCTGTGCCAGCACGCCCTACTCTTCACCAGGGAAGCCGGCAACACTTTGATGCTCAAACAAGGCAGCACCGCAGCGGGCTGCCCCAGAGCCAACCCCAGCAGCGTGTTCCTCCAGAGGAGGAAGTGGCCTGCTCAAAGAGGAACAAAATGATAAACAGAACTGGGAAGGAGACTGCTCGATACATGTCTTTTGCCTATTAAAGAGGCAACGAGCTGTCAAGGTGAGAAGTTTCCTCCTTCTCCCAGGGGATGGAGACACACCAGCACAGCAGGCCTCTGTTTCCTGACCCCCTGAACCACATCATTTAGCCCTGACTTCCTGCAGGCAGCACTTCACCCACCCAAAAAATCCGCCGCCCTTGCTGTTAAGGAACTGCCTCTCTCCCTTTGCAGAGGGGTCCTTACATCTCCCTTTGCTTCTCCTCACTGGATACATCCGAAGCTGTCAGGCTTCCCCAGAGCACGGGGGTGACACCAAATGAGCAGCTCACTTCCGTTACTCTGTGCTTCCTTCAGGAAGGCAGCCCTGAGTCAGGGAGCTACCAGGAGCCCCGCAAGCCAAGGGCAGAGCTCGCCTCGGCCTTTGAGGCTCACCCTCACTTCCCCAGGCCATAAAGACCTAACAGGGACATTCCTCAGGACCCAAGGGCCAGGCCACAGAGTGAGTACAAGACACCACTACGCTGGGAGCGCTGGTTCTCTCCCCTGTAGCGAGGCTCCAGCAAGCTGGGAGAAACATGCACGTTCCCATGACAACACCACTACTGCAAGAGAATTCCTTATGTGGCTGCAAAGAAAGAGCTCAGCTGAGGTCTGGGAGTGGCCTCATCCCACTGAGCGACAGAAGCTTCTGCCATCAGCCTCGGTAGCAAAGCCCGATCAGTCCCACAGCACCACACCGCTCCTCACGGACATCAGTCCTGGGGATGGAAAAGCCCCAGCTTCCCATTTTGAACAGATTCAGCAGCAAAGTCACCGCACGA